TTTTCTGATTTCTGTGATGTTTTTCTGAGAACTTTTTATGGATCTGAGTTTTGATAACAGACTGTGAAACTGTTTTATGGGCTTTTATGAAACCTGGTGTGATTTTTGTGAATTCCGTATTGCTTACTGCTTGGGTTGGACTGTTGTGATTCTGTACTTGCATTGTTGTTTTTGAATTACTGCAGGAAATACTTCTTTACACCTCTCTTTGTGAACCAAAACAAAATTTGTGATTTGCAATAGAGGTTCCCCTGGGCCTATGATTATTCATTAAATTTCTGACTTTGGTTGTGAAAATGCATGAGGCCTTTGTGTTTCTTGTGAACATGATTGAAATGACCCCTATATTCTAATTCCTATCACGACACCCTAATGATGATTTTGAGCTTGAAAACTTCTTAACAATTCTTGTTTATGTCTTTTTGATGATTGCTTTCTAACCAATTCGTGTTTTCTTTTCCTTGTTTCATGTGATGGAGGATGAGAGGAAGATGATTGGTCTTTGGCAGGAAGAAGAAGAATTTGTGGCTTGACTTGGAAAATTGGAGGGAGACTCAAAATAAAGTCAATGGAAAGTCTCTTTAGGAATCATAAGTTTAGGCTTAGGAACATGGATGATTTTATAGTCTTGATAATGTAATTTGAAACTTAAGAACTAATAAACTTGAAACCCTCTTGTAACAAAAGAAGTGGTGATGTATGAAGCTAAATAGCATTTGGAATGTTCTTGCATTCTTTGGAAAGTAAGGATACTTTGTAGAATTTTTAATCGAACTTGGATCTTTGGTAAATTTGGATGATCTTGAATGAATTTTAATATGAAGTAATGAATTTGAAATACTTGAAATACTTGAAATACTTGAAATACTTGAAATACTTGGATATGAAACTTGCAACTTGAAATGAAGTAAATTTGTCCCTTCGTTTCAAAGAGAAGCCACGAGACAATGTGATTTATCATATGCATAAAGAACCACTTATCTTGATTCGTCACACTTGATTTCCTCTTTCACTAATTCAAATTTAAACTCACTAAAATTGCCTTGAAATGATGCTTGAAACAAATTTCAATTTTCAACTTTCTCCCCGCATTTAGCATGTCTAAACTTATCAAATGAGCCTTCAATTCTCAAATTCCAAACTAACTTGTATTTTTAAGCGATGAACAATTGAGGATAAACAAGCTTTGATCATAATAAATCCATTGCAATGACGAAGATAGGCTTTGACATATCTTGATGGAGAAGATTATATCTTTGAAATAATAACCTCCTGATAATCATACTTCAATAATCAAAGTTTTAGCACAAAAGCCAAAAGATAGGAAAAGCTGCGATTCGTTGCCAAACCCTCGAAATCCTGAATCTTCTCATGAAACAAAGAATTCGCTGAGATGCCATGAGGTATGAAAAAGCCTTGGTAGCTTGAGTAGTTGAAAACCCTAGGAGCATGAAGGCGACATCTTGGAGAAAAATGGGAGGGAAAATTTTAGGGTACAACATGATTAATAGTGGAAGTCAGAGGACCACATATGTTTCTCCGTTGCCAGATTTCATGTTACACATGGAGTTACCAAGGGGTTGGAAACTCCCAAAATTCACTAAGTTTTTAGGGGATGTCAAAGAGTCCACTATCGAGCATGTTGCCAGATACCAAACGGAACTTGACAATTTAGTAGTGAATAAGGATTTGAGGATGAAATATTTTCTCAACTCCCTTACAAAGATTGCGTTCACTTGGTTTACAGCGCTTCCCCCACAGTCGATCCAAACATGAACCCAGTTAGATAAATTGTTCCATGAGAAATTCCACATGGGGCAGTCCAAGATAAGCCTAACAGAATTGTCCAGTGTCAAACGAAAGAGCATTGAGTCAATAGATCAATACCTTAACAAGTTAGACTTCTAAAAACACAATATTTTACACAAGTCCTTGAACATGAGTTGGTCGAAATGGCTGCAAATGGGTTAGAGTATTCCATTAGGAAGAAATTACTGGACACTCAGTCTTTGAAGGATATGTCTCAATTAGCTATCAAAGTTCGACTGATTGAATGTTTGAATGCTGAAAAAACTAAGCCAAACAAGTATCACAAAAAATGGAAAGTTGTTTATGTGGCAACTGACAGATGTTCTTCTGATGAAAACAAGTCAGGGGAAGAAACAAAGGTTAATATGGATAAACTACAACCTATGCCTCCTTATGCATGTAAACATTTGAAACCATCGAACATGAAAAACCCCGTCGAAACCGAAAAGAATGGCAAAGCCATCACCAAGACCTATACTTTCGACATAATGAAATGTGATGAGATATTTGATTTGTTAGTAGTTGATGGTCAAATTGTGGTCCACCAGGGCCTAAAGAATCCCCCACTTGAACAGAAGAAGAAAAAGGGATTCTGTCAATTTCATAATTTTCTTGGTCATAAAACTTCTCAATATGTTCTTTTCATGGATTTGGTGCACAAATCGTTGAAACATTGAAAGCTCCAGTTTGGCGATAAGCCAAAGATACAAGTCAACACTGACCCTTTGAAAGTTAAAGAGGCTTTATACTCAAAGCCTCTAGATTGCATGATGGTCGAAGCTACTAAGGGCCTCGACATAGAAGTTATAATGATTGGTGACATAGAAGTCATGATGGTCAGAACCAATGATAGTTTCAACCTAAAGATGGAAGAGGGATTACATGAAGTGTACCCTTAGCCTGAAGAAAGCTTGGCTAGCTTTCAAGAGAAATGCAGAGTGAAAGAGTCGAAGGAAAAATTATGCCCAAGATACAATGCTGTGTTTGATAAAGAAGTAACTGAGAAGTATGAAGTTGTCAAAAAAGAGGCTCTTAAGCAAGAGAAACCTCCGGTCCCAAGGTTTGTTTTTGACAAGCAAGGAAATCCCCGATGCAACGAGGAATACAAAAAATTGTTTCAATAGTCGCGGCCAAAAACCTTTCGCCCTCCATTAGATATTCCACAAGAAAAATGGATGGAGCCAGTAAGCCAAAAGGGGGGCAAGAGGTCGAAGTGGAGAGTGATTATGCAAGAAGCTGAGACCTAGGAAAAGAAAGCTGAGTCAAAGGGTTATCAAGTTTCTCTCAACTATAAGGGAAAAAACCCAATGACAATGACTCAGTGGAGGCGTTATCAGAGGAACAAAAAGGCGACAAAGGAAGCTTCAACATCTCAGTTGAAGCAAATCAAAGAAAATAGCCATGTCGAAAACATACTACCAGCAGAAGCTACAAAGCCAATAGAGTTTCCAATACCAAAGGTGTATTATCCAAGTCGAAACTGACTGAAAAAGAAAAAGCCATAGCAAATCAAAGAATGGCTATGAGGGTAGCTCCTTTAGGTAACACAAAGCTGGTGGTGACACAAAATATGGAATATACTCCTGCACATGAGTATACTCCTACATCTGAAGGCGAAGAGGAGGAACCTGATTATGAACCTTCACCAAAAGATGATATGGTCGACGATGACTATGATTATGGTGAAGACTTCATCATTAACTGTGGAATTGTGTCAATTCTGCCTGCAGAATATGACAGGGTGTCGGAAGTATCAGAAAACAAAGAAGATTTTACTTCCGATAAACAGTGGTGTGGTTGAAGAACAGAAGGCTGTGTTTGAAAAACCAAGCCCGTGAATGTTGTGTCATCTCAAGCCTTTATTCATAAGGATAAAGGTGGATGGCATGTCAATGAACAAGGTGTTTATCGATGGTGGGGCAGTTGTAAATTTAATGCCACATGCTCTATTTAAGAAAATGGGGAAGTGTGGGTCAGAGCTTCGACCTCACAACATGGTTTTATCGAACTATGAAGGAAAAACCAATAGCATACTGGATGTTATCCAAGTCAAATTGGCCGTCGGAACAACAATCAGATTAACATTGTTCATGGTTATAAATTCCAAAACCAACTTTAATCTATTACTTGGCCGTGAGTGGATCCATGGAATAGGTGCAGTTTCGTCGACTTTACACCAAAGAATTTCCATTTGGAGAAAAGGCGGCGTAGTAGAGAACATAAAAGTTGATCAGAGCTACTACAAAGTCGATGATGTGAAAGATGGAAAGAGGTCTTTCGACCAATATTTAGCGAATGTAGCGCCTTGTCATGATGAGAGTCACATTTCTAATAAAAACTCAAATCATTTTCTCAGTTTAGATCTTGACCATGGCTTAATGTATGCCTTAACTTCTTTCAATTTAAAAGACAAATTTTCGTTTTATTTTGTTTTAAGTAAATTGCTATTTTAATTTGGGATAGTTTTAAAAGAATTCAATAAAGTCACTTAGAAACTTCAAAGTCTAAATAATTTATTCTAAATAGATATTATTATTGTAATTTATAATTTATTTCTAGTATACTATTTTGATAAATGATTATTTTAAAAAGTTAATAATAATTAAAGATTTTAATTTTAATTTCAAATGGTATATTTAATTCAGATATGCATATTTAAAAATCCTCTGAAAATAAAATATTAAATTATTTCAGATATGCATATCTGAAGACCTCCTAAAAATAAAATATTTGGTTCAGATATGTATGTCCAAATTAAAGGAGTATTACAGAAATTTCTTCAGAAGCCTTTAAGAAGACATAAGGTTGTACTAAAAAATTCTCATAAGTGGGGGTGGGAGGAAAAATACTGTGAATGATAATCGGGCTTTAAGGCCCAAGGTCCAAATCCTTCGGACCAACTCTTATTCCGGCCTGAATCTCATGACGAGTAAGCAAGTAATAAATAACAGAAAAAAAAGGAAAAAAACATTTTTAGAAAGGACACTTCTTCATTACACACCACCACCACCTTCTTCTCTCTGTGATTCTTCTACGCACACTCCTTCTTCTTCTCCCTCTCATTCTCCCTTCCCCTGTTTCTCTCTCTCTCTCTCTCGGGCTTCGCTGCTTCAGATCTCGCAGCGTAACAGAGTCTCGCCCTCTCACATTCCCAAATCAAATCCCCCTCTGATCTCTCCACCACCGCAATCATGGCTGCCAATGCCCCCATCACCATGAAGGAGGCCTTAACGGTTCGTTCATTTCACCGAATTCCGCATTTTCATAACTCAATTTCCTCCCTCAGATCTCAACTTCAATCAGCATTGTCACCTTATTAATTTTCAAATTAATTGATTAATTGTTTTTGAATATTGCAGTTGGGAAGCGTTGGAATCAATCCACAATTCATCACGTTCACTCACGTGACGATGGAATCTGAGAAGTTTATATGTGTTAGGGAAACTGGTCCTTCCAATAGTGTTGTTATGATTGATATGAATATGCCAATGCAGCCTTTGAGACGACCGATCACTGCTGATTCTGCTCTAATGAACCCTAATACCAGAATTCTCGCTCTTAAAGGTATACATTTTACCGCTCCGATTTGTGAGGTCGGCTTTTGTTTCCGGATTATGTAATGTGATTGTTAATTAGATTTGTAGATCCTAAAATTGTGATTGGAAATGATTTGGCTAGCTATAGGAAGTTAGATTTGATAAATCCATGTGGATTTTATTTTATTTTTGTTTACTTTAATTTGAATGTGGTATTGTCAATGTAGCTCAAGTTCCTGGAACTACTCAGGACCATTTGCAAGTATTTAATATTGAAACGAAAACAAAGATGAAATCATATCAAATGACCCAGCAGGTGTGGAATTGTAAATCATTTGGATTGGATGTTTGGCGGGTTGGATTATATCTCTGATTATTATTAATTATCATGTGTTTCATTTTCTTTAGGTTGTGTTTTGGAAGTGGATAACTGCAAAGATGTTAGGCATAGTCACTCAGACATCTGTGTATCATTGGTCAATTGAAGGTGAAAACATATTATTTTATGGCTTCTGTGCGCTCGTAATTCTACCTGAATCTGAATATGTCTCTAAGTTTGTAGTATTACTGGAACTTTTTGAACTGACAATTTATTATTTTGTACCATTCTCATTTGCAGGCGATGGTGAGCCAGTGAAGGTGTTTGACCGAACAGCTAATCTGGCAAATAACCAAATCATCAATTATCGTTGTGATCCTAGTGAGAAGTGGCTGGTTTTGATTGGAATTGCTCCTGGTTCTCCTGAGGTATGTGTTATCTTTCCTATAGCAACTTTCCATGCCTTTGTATTAGTTGACTTATAAATAATAAGTTGCAAATTCTGCCACTCTTCTGTTATATCAAGGGTTGACTGTTGTCCTTATTTTCATACCTGGGGAGGCACTTCTGTAAACTCTTGGGCTGTAAGTTGTAACATATTGCTCTCCCCTCATTCTCACCACAAAATGTTATGCTCTAAAAAGATATTTGTGATGGGTGGTGCATGGGTTTGTAATGCAAGTAGGTAGTTTATAGTTTATGGAGTATAGCTCATTAGCTTGTTTATGAATTGCATGTTGAAGCACTTAGGAAGTAAGTATCAATACTTTCAGTTGTAAATAATTTGATTTGATGATCTGTGCTATGCAGCACCGACACCTCTGAAAAAAGGCGTGTCCGTGTCCGTGTCGGTATCAGACACTTGCACTGACATTTGTGATTACATTTACTTTATTCATTTTTTAAAATTATTACTGACGTCACCTTGTTAGTGTTGGGGTCAAATTCGGGGTGCCGTGCTTCATAGACTTTGTGTTTTACTTAATCTTTATTGTCAGTTTTATGGGTAGTTTATACAAATTAAAATAGAATTAAGATATAAAAATATCAATACTTTTTGTATAAAATATATTTACTTGAGCTTATTTTCCCGCTTATTCAATAGATGGTGCAAATCTATATTTTCCCATGCTCTTTAATTTTGTATCTTTTTTACTTAACCTTTTTTAGGTTGCACATTACATATGTTTTTTTCATTTTAACTTTTTGATGTTTTTCCTTACTATGTGCACTAAACACCAAGATTCAAGACTTGGGGTACTCTTGCTTTCAAGCTACTTTTCAAATGTTCTTCTCCAAATTTTTCCATACCTACTGAATGATTTTTTTCTAATTAATGAACTGGTTGTGTACTTATATTTGAAGATTTGGACACGCACATCTTTTCCTGTTTACATTCCCCTGTTTAACAGTTTCTGAATACTTCATCTTTTGACATGATTCAGATTCCAGCACATCAAGGTTTCTGAAATCATTAATTGTTGGTGTAACGTTGTTTTATTTTTTTTGGTTATAGAGACCACAACTTGTAAAAGGAAACATGCAACTCTTTGCAGTGGATCAACAACGGAGTCAGGCTCTTGAAGCACATGCTGCCTCATTTGCCTCGTTCAGAGTACGCCTGTCTTCTTTATGATTCATTTATTTTGATTGCAATTCTTTGGCTTGTGTAGGTTGAATGTTGTTTTGTATTGTAATTTATGCAATGTGCAGGTTACTGGAAATGATAAGGATTCAATTCTTATTTGTTTTGCATCCAAGACCATTAATGCTGGACAGGTTACATCAAAGATGCATGTCATTGAACTTGGTGCCCAGCCAGGTATAAGCATGGCTAAATTATCAATTAACAACATAATGGTACATTCCTACATGGTATAAAAATAAAATAAAAAGAGATTTTTTATCATCAAGTTACTTAATAGATACGAGATAATGGATATTAAGTGACTTTAATTTAGAATCATTAAATATCATACATATATGAACACCCTCCAAATGAGGTAAAGATATTTTTCAAATAGACTAACAGAAAATACTGTAATAAGATTTCCGTGGACTGTCTATTATTAGAAGTATACGTTATTAGTACCTCCTCCTTATACTTTTCTTGCCACCACCTGGGTGTATTGTGGCGTTTGATATCAGGCAAGCCATCATTTAGTAAAAAACAAGCAGATCTGTTCTTTCCTCCAGACTTTGCTGATGACTTTCCTGTATCAATGCAGGTATAAGTGTAAACTTCATTTAGGATTCTCTATCCAAAAAGATATTATGTTGAATATTTATCTATTTTTTATTGTGCAGATTTCAAATAAATATGGTTTGATATATGTTATCACAAAACTTGGTCTTTTATTTGTCTATGATATGGAGACTGCCACCGCAGTTTACAGAAATCGAATCAGTCCCGATCCTATATTTTTGACCTCAGAAGCATCATCGGAAGGGGGATTTTATGCCATAAATAGACGTGGCCAAGTATTGCTAGCTACTGTGAATGAGGCAACCATTGTACCTTTTGTTAGTGGCCAGGTATTTTATGTGTTACACTGTGTTTTTGATTAAATAAGAATGCTTTTCTTTTTGTATCTACTTAATACTTTTTTGGGCACTTTGCAGTTAAACAATTTGGAGCTTGCTGTTAATCTTGCTAAAAGAGGAAACCTCCCCGGTGCAGAAGAATTGGTAACTTAACTATTATTATATTTTTTGTTCCATTGTCTACTGTCTCACTAGATTGTAGCTGCACTTAAAGTGTTTCAGGAGTGTTGTTCATAATAGAACAAATATCAGCTAGGAGATTAACATAAAAGTACAAGATAATGGGCCCGTTTGTTTTAGCTTTTTTTAAAAATGATTTTTATAGTGTTGCATAATTTTGTATAAAAAAAATTTACAAAGAAACTTTTCATAAAAGCTTTAAATGAAAATTTGGTTTGAATAGTTATTTTTAAAATGTTATTTAGGTATTTCATCTTATTGAAATTTTTTTTGGATATCAAAATTTCAAAAAATCACTTAATTTTGAAGCTATTTCAAATAGATTTTCATAAAAATCATTTTTGAAATACAACTTTTTGAAAAAATTGCAATTTTGACTATATTTTGGTCTTCAATAATGTATGTTCATGTTATATGATGTCAAAATTAGTGTTTCAATTTAGAAAAAACGAATATAAAAAAACTTGTAATATTTTGAAAAACGGTTTTGTAAAATCTATTTTCAAAAATACAAAGAAAAAATCTATTTTTTTAAAGCTGAAACAAACTGGCCCAATGATTGAACAATATATTCACGTGGCATCTGAAATGCACACTTGACAGTTTGAAGAGTGAAATTTGATCAAAAGCATGTGAGAAAAGTTTAATGTTGGTGAAATATATGTACAGTAAATATATTTTATGCACTTTCTTTTCCACTTAGTTAATTTGAACAATGAGAAATATGGATATTCTCTTCATTTTATCCCCCAGTGATTGTAAAATTTCTATTTTTCTTTTCCAGGTTGTTCAGCGTTTTCAAGAGTTATTTGCTCAGACCAAGTATAAGGAAGCTGCAGAGCTTGCTGCAGAATCACCACGAGGAATACTTCGAACTCCTGATACAGTTGCTAAATTTCAGGTATATCTTGTATACCTATTGTTACTCTTAGAATTGTGGTTGAACCTATCTCACCCCCCTCACCGGATCTTGTCACGTATTGTTCGATGTGAGATCCGGGTCTTGAACTTGGCTTTGATACCATCTTAGAATTGTAGTTGGACCTAACTTATCCCTACAAAACCAGCTTGTAAGGTGAGGATTGTCCCCATTATAAACATATGTTCATGTCATTTATTGTCCGATGCGAGACTCGTAACAATTACTTTTATATTTGTCGTTTTGGGCAAGTTAATGCATTTGGTTTGGAGTCTTCCTTTTGAAATCGGGCCACATAAATATGGAAACTTTATATACTCTTCATATCTTTTATTTATTTATTTGCCTCTGTAATTTGCTTCAGAGTGTACCTGTGCAAGCGGGACAAACACCACCACTGTTGCAATACTTTGGAACTCTGTTAACCAGGGGTAAACTGAATGCTTTTGAGTCGTTGGAACTATCACGACTTGTCGTAAATCAGAACAAAAAGAACTTGTTAGAAAATTGGCTAGCAGAGGACAAATTGGAATGCAGCGAGGAGCTTGGTGACCTTGTGAAGGTCCTGACAGAAATTTAAATTGATTATCTCTTTTTCATTTGAACTTATTAATTTAAATTGGTGACCTTGCTGATTTCTTACTTATTTTCTTTTGCCTTCCTAATTTGTATAAGGCTTGCATATAATGCAGACAGTTGATAATGACCTTGCACTGAAAATCTATATTAAAGCTAGAGCTACACCGAAAGTTGTGGCAGCTTTTGCAGAGAGGAGGGAGTTTGATAAGATCCTGATTTATTCCAAGCAGGTAATTTTTTATCAGGCTAAGTAGAATCATAAAGTAGAGGTGCTGCAATTTTATTCTTATATAATTTACAGCAGTTAAAATTTCTGTTTTGTTTTGTAGTGTATTTCTGATGTAATGCTTTTTCTTTGCTGAAGGTTGGATATACACCTGATTACATGTTCCTTCTGCAAACAATTTTACGGACAGACCCGCAGGTAAGCAGGTTTTTTCTGAACAAAATTGATTAGATGATGCCTTACCATCTGAGTTGCTTCAATTTTGTGATATAGTGATTTTTAGTCTAAAGTTTGAGCATAACCGAACTTGCTTAAAATAGTAGTCCAAATTGGAAATGGTTTCTTAATGCTTATGATGTTTTCCTTTCAGTAACATTTATATCCAGCTAATCCACTATGAATTGTTTCTTTTTTGAGCATCATTGTTTTTTTATAGAGTCGCATATTTTGAAACTTGATTGATTGCAGGGTGCTGTAAATTTTGCTCTCATGATGTCTCAAATGGAAGGAGGTTGCCCTGTGGACTACAACACAATAACTGATCTCTTTCTTCAGGTTTATTTGCGTTTTACTGTTATTGTTTGAACTTTAAAACATGCCTGGTTTGTGGTGCTCGTTTCATTTATAAGTCAGATGTAATTTTAAAAACGCAGAATCATGTATACAACTTTTACTCTTTTCTTTCCATTGTATTCTTTTTGTTTCTTTTTGGATAATTTAAAACGAGAAATGCTAATAATGATATGAAACCATTCCTTACTATCTTGAAGTTGCCTTTGGTAATACTAATATCTTGGTTTGGCCAATTTATTTTCCTCTAATTTCAATCACCGACAATTTTATACTTGGTTTGGCCAATTTATTTTCCTCTAATTTCAATAACTGACAATTTTATTTTTGAGTGCTGGAAATTTTGTTTATATATTTCTTATGTTAATTTTCAGAGGAATTTGATCCGCGAGGCAACAGCATTTTTGTTGGATGTGCTGAAGCCAAACCTACCTGAACATGGATATCTTCAAACAAAGGTTTTTATATTTTATGTCATATTGTCTGTGTCTCTGAACTCAATGGTATTATATACTTTTTTTTTACTTATATAAAAATGGCAATATTTTGTATTATTTTTAGGTTCTGGAGATTAATCTTGTGACGTTTCCAAATGTTGCTGATGCTATATTGGCCAATGGCATGTTCAGTCATTATGATCGCCCACGAATTGGACAACTCTGTGAAAAGGCTGGCCTTTTCATACGTGCTCTTCAGGTTCTTAGTTTCTAATCTTCTGATTACTTAGTAATGCTCTCTTTTGTCCAGTTGATTTCTAAGATCTTTCTGTCTGTCATTTGCAGCATTATGGCGAGTTGCCAGATATCAAACGTGTCATTGTGAATACACATGCCATTGAGCCTCAGGTTTGGATTACAACTGCTCCAACGTCTTAATCCAGCATAAAGTTGTTTGGATTCTTACTATAATGATTCTTTTCAGTCTTTAGTTGAGTTCTTTGGAACCCTTTCTCGAGAATGGGCACTTGAGTGTATGAAAGATCTTTTACTGGTGAATCTTAGGGGGAATCTTCAGATAATTGTTCAGGTACTATTCATGGACAATGTTGCCTTTAAGATTTTTATTTCTCACAAGGAAGTCGTTAATAAGAGAATCTTGCTTGTGCGTGATTTGTAGACTGCTAAGGAATATTCTGAGCAGCTGGGAGCTGATGCATGCATTAAACTCTTTGAGCAATTTAAATCCTATGAAGGACTATATTTTTTCTTGGGTTCATACTTGAGCTCCAGGTATTTCTTTCTTTTTGGAGAATGAACATGTCCTTATTTCACGAGTTTGCTGGACAGTTTGCTTTGCTTTTCTAGTTTTGTATCAATTATTGTAATTTTGGTTGCTGTCTTTCGTAGTGAGGATCCTGAGATTCACTTCAAGTACATTGAAGCTGCTGCTAAAACTGGACAAATTAAGGAGGTAGAGCGTGTGACTAGGGAATCAAACTTCTATGATGCCGAGAAGACCAAAAATTTTCTAATGGAGGCTAAACTTCCTGATGCACGCCCATTGATTAATGTGTGTGATCGTTTTGGTTTTGTTCCCGATCTCACACATTATCTTTATACCAACAATATGCTTCGCTATATTGAAGGTTATGTTCAAAAGGTAACTTTGTTTTCAGAGTTTTATTTAATTTGTGATTCTTAGGTATGTATGTTTTAAATATTTCTTAATGATTTTTAAAAGTGAGACTTAACTTTACTTCTTGCTTTTAGGTCAATCCTGGAAATGCTCCTCTAGTTGTTGGACAGTTGTTAGATGATGAATGCCCCGAAGATTTCATTAAAGGTCTCATACTTTCAGTTCGTTCTCTTCTGCCAGTTGAGCCTTTAGTTGAAGAGTGTGAGAAGAGGTGTGCTAGTTTTTCATACCTTCTTTCTCCAGCAGCATTGCAAATATTCTTTCCTGATTTCACCCTTTATGTATAGGAATCGTCTCCGCTTGCTGACTCAGTTCTTGGAGCATCTTGTGAGTGAAGGAAGCCAGGATGTACATGTGCATAATGCCTTGGGTAAAATCATCATCGACAGCAACAACAATCCTGAGCATTTTCTCACAACCAACCCTTATTATGATTCTCGTGTTGTTGGTAAATATTGTGAGAAGCGAGATCCTACTCTTGCTGTTGTTGCTTACCGAAGAGGTCAATGCGATGATGAGCTTGTTAATGTTACTAATAAAAATTCCCTGTTCAAACTCCAAGCAAGGTACATAGTCATAGACTTCCCTTCATAAGGAAGATGTCGTTGTATATTTTATAACGCTAGTACTAGGCACTAACTTTATTTCCTCGTGTTTGTATCAGATATGTTGTGGAAAGGATGGATGCTGACCTCTGGGAGAAAGTTCTTGATCCTGAGAATGAATTCAGAAGACAGTTGATTGATCAAGTGGTGTCCACTGCTTTGCCTGAAAGCAAGAGTCCCGAACAAGTTTCAGCTGCAGTGAAAGCTTTTATGACTGCTGATCTTCCTCATGAGTTAATCGAGCTTCTTGAAAAGATTGTGCTACAAAATTCTGCTTTTAACGGAAACTTTAATCTGCAAAATTTACTGATCCTCACTGCAATAAAGGCAGATCCTTCAAGAGTTATGGACTACATAAATAGGTTGGATAACTTTGATGGACCTGCCGTTGGGGAGGTGGCAGTGGAAGCACAATTATATGAAGAAGCATTTATTATTTTCAAGAAATTTAATTTGAATGTTCAGGCTGTTAATGTTCTGCTAGATAACCTTAAGACCATTGATCGTGCTGTGGAATTTGCTTTCCGGGTTGAAGAAGATGCTGTTTGGAGCCAGGTGGCAAAGACACAACTGAGAGAAGGATTAGTAAGTGATGCAATTGAGTCGTTCATTCGTGCAGATGATTCAACTCATTTCTTAGAGGTTATAAAGGCTGCTGAAGATGGAGAGGCATACCATGATCTGGTAAAATACCTTCTCATGGTTAGGCAGAAGACCAAAGAGCCCAAGGTGGACAGTGAGCTCATTTATGCCTATGCAAAGATTGATCGTCTTGGTGAAATTGAAGAGTTTATACTGATGCCAAACGTTGCCAATTTACCAGTTGTTGGAGACCGCTTGTATGATGAAGCTCTATATGAGGCTGCAAAAATTATATTTGCTTTTATCTCTAACTGGGCTAAGTTAGCAGTAACATTGGTTAAGCTTCAACAGTTTCAGGGCGCTGTTGATGCTGCCAGGAAAGCAAACAGTTCAAAAACTTGGAAGGAAGTTTGTTTCGCCTGTGTTGATGCTGAGGAATTCCGCTTAGCTCAGATTTGTGGTCTCAATGTCATCATCCAGGTGATATGCTTTTCTATTATAGAATTTAACATTTGAAAGTTCTCCACATGAGGATTAATTGTCATGACTTCACTATGAGAAGGTTATACAAATTGTACTATATTGGAAATATTTAAGTGCGAGTTGAAGGATGTAAGTACTAGTAAATACTAAAAAGTATAAACTAGTGGCAGAAAAACTGTAGATTGCTTTAACTAATTTTCTGTTGTCTGAATAATTACTATATTGTTATGAAGGTGGATGATTTGGAAGAGGTTAGTGAGTTTTACCAGAACAGAGGATGCTTCAATGAACTCATTTCTCTGATGGAGAGTGGGCTAGGATTGGAGCGAGCACACATGGGAATCTTTACTGAATTGGGCGTTCTTTACGCAAGATATCGCTTTGAGAAGCTAATGGAACACATTAAGTTGTTCTCAAGCCGGCTTAATATTCCAAAGGTTATTCGAGCATGTGATGAACAGCAGCACTGGAAAGAACTTACATACTTGTACATCCAATATGATGAGTATGATAATGCTGCAACTACTGTAATGAATCACTCTCCCGAAGCATGGGACCACATGCAATTCAAAGATATTATAGTTAAAGTTGCAAGTGTGGAACTCTACTATAAAGCTGTTCACTTCTACTTGCAAGAACATCCTGAAGTAGTAAACGATCTTCTAAATGTGATTGCTCTTCGTGTGGACCATACTCGTGTAGTTGACATAATGCGGAAGGTTTGCATTTCTCATTCCCAATGATTAAATCCATTCATTTTTATTCTTACTGATATAATTAATTGGCTTTCAATGTTGTCCTGTAATAATATCTTTGTTTATTTTCGGTTGTTAGGCTGGCCACCTCAAATTGATCAAGCCTTACATGATTGCCGTCCAAAGCAATAATGTATCTGCTGTCAATGAAGCTCTAAATGAAATTTATGTTGAGGAAGAGGACTATGACAGACTTCGAGAATCAATAGACCTGCATGACAACTTTGATCAAATAGGTCTTGCACAGAAGGTGAATTTGAGAATCCCACCCACGTATCTTCTGTCATATTTTTTGGGAGCTAACGAATTTTGAGATTCAAATGTTACTGGGAAATATATATTTTTTGAATTATTATTTACTGCCTTTTACAATACAAATGTGCAGATTGAGAAGCACGAACTTCTTGAAATGAGGCGTGTTGCTGCATACATCTATAAGAAAGCTGGAAGATGGAAGCAATCCATTGCTTTGTCAAAGAAAGACAATCTTTACAAGGACTGTATGGAAACTTGCTCTCAATCTGGTGACCGTGAACTCTCAGAGGATTTGCTTGTCTACTTTATTGAGAAGGTGCTTACTTTTTTATCCTTAAAATCATTAAACTCTGTTTTTTAAGATTAGATACTAATTAGATTGGTCCTTTTGTCAAAGTGGAATTTGATTCCTGCTTCACTTTGATATATATCTTTGTTTCTTCCATTCTTTGCTTCTTCCAGATTAAGTTTTAACTATTAACTTTAACTAAGGAATAACTTTGATATATTTGCAGGGGAAGAAAGAGTGTTTTGCATCATGTCTCTTTGTCTGCTATGATATTATCCGGCCAGATGTTGCTCTTGAATTGGCTTGGATGAATAACATGATTGATTTTTGTTTCCCATATCTCTTACAAGTATGTTTTTTTTTTTGGGAATCTTTTAATTAAATTTATTAACAGACTTTGTTTTTAACATCTGTTTTTAAAAATGTTCTATAGTTTATCCGAGAGTATACAGGCAAGGTAGATGAGCTTATCAAGGATAGAATTGAAGCACAAAATGAGGAGAAAGCTAAGGAGAAGGAAGAGAAGAATGTAATTGCTCAACAGGTACCCTTTTCAAACTTCCATTCAAATGGCAATCGGTTTTATTTTGTTTGATTATGAAATTAACAATGTTTTCAATGATCTCCAGAATATGTATGCCCAGTTGCTACCACTTGCTTTGCCAGCACCACCGATGCCAGGTATGGGAGGAGGAGGAGGGTATGCCCCTCCCCCACCACAACCGCCCATGGGTGGAATGGGGATGCCACCGATGCCTCCTTATGGCTTGCCTCCAATGGGCTACTGATCTCTCAATTAACAACAGAGCAGAGAATTTCGGCATAAATATTATGGGTGAAGCTGGATAGTTTAGAATCTTTCATTTTTGCATTCAAGGTGACTTCTTTAGGGCTTTTAAGAATCTGCATGGTGGCAACCAAATATCTCCCTTCTAGCCTGATGGTACTACTTATCCAATGATTGCGGATTTCTTCATTGAAAGTTGAGTTCTGATGATTCTTTTGGTTTCTTTCTCTTTGGATTGTTTGATCATTTTTTGCTAGAGCCTGGATGTTAATAATCCTGGTTGATCTTTTTGAGGCTTTGGCTTGGTTGCGGCGTGTATAGATTTTTCTCTAACTATTATTATTTGGTTTCATAGTTGTGTAGTCATAAATGTATTCTGATTAGGACTTGGAAATTTCATTTTTTCTTGGTATATATATTTTTCCATCTAATATTAAAAATGATCTCTTACTATCTGGCAGTTACCTTTCCTTAAAGTCTTGAATGATCAGTATTATTTATTTTTTTTCTATTTAGTTTCAGCACTTGAAATCTCAACTTCCATCATTATTTCATGATAAAGACATACCATAAAGAAGCCGAGTTTGGTGAGCTTTTTAAGTATTAGTTATAAGTTATTTTAGTTAAGAAGTTTATGTTTTACCCTAGTTGCTTCAATTAAATCATTTTGTTATAATTTACGTTAATATATAAATAATATAAAGATGTTTTTAGATTCAATATGAGAAATAATTCTAAAGGCTCGAAAGTTGTAATTATGTGAGAATTTGATAAGTTTTGGAAAATGTGATTTTGAGATTTAAAAAAGAATTTTTATGAATATTTTTTTGAAATTTGTTGTTTGGCGAGCTTCGAACAAAATAAACATATAAAATAATTTGGTCGACTCGACTTATGGAAATGTGAGTATTTAAAAATTTGAGCAATATAAAGGGGACAAATCAATTTGGGGCTTGCCGGTAGATTTTGTACACTACTTAGGTTACACTTGTAGAGGGGACGAGTGATTTTAGAGGTATATAATTAGTTTTAATATGTTAGATATTTATAAAGTAGAATAAGTTGTTGATGCTAACTTTTCTGGTCCGTTCTAGTAACTAAGGATGATCCAATCCACTTCTGCTATTAGGGGTGGTTCAATAGTTTTGGTCTAATCAGTCTGGATGGACGAAAGACATCTTTCTCTCTTGCCCCTCGGTTGGAGACGCGAGATCGGTTGTCCATCAGAGCCAACGAGACCACCACTGCCTTTAGACCGTACTCCTGTCTGTGTCAACGACTAGTCTTCACCCTGTCCGTCACGCGCGTAGTAATTATCCAGGAACAACCATAGCGCGCCTGCTCGAAACTACGTTCCTGCTCGGAGTAACGACTAGTTCTGAGTAGATTTGCCCGTCATAACGGCTAGTTCCTGACAGTTACCTATTTTTGGGACTTGATATCCAGGCCAAGAAATAGGAACCAATGGCAAAGCGCCAAGGACATTATATAAATCCTCACACTTGTGAGGGACAAATATTCAATATTCACTCTAAAACCCTAAACTCTCTCCTGTATCTCTTTGCACTCTTACTTGAACGTCAGAGTGCCTTGCAGGTACACCTCCTCCTCCTTGATTTCAACTTTGCAGACGCAGCGATCGACCTATTACATGTTCTGGTCACCGATAAGATCAGTGGCGTCGTCTGAGGGAAACTGCTTTCGCCATCTTTTTTTCCTCAAAAACTAAAGATCAAAGCGATATTTCAAGATTCAACGAAGAGATCGGCCCATTACAGGTTCTGGCCACCGATAAGATCAGTGGTGCCGTCTGTGGGAAACTGCTTTCGCCATCTTTTTTTTCTCAGAAACTAAAGATCAAAGCGACATTTCAAGATTCAACATCATGGCCGATCAAGATGACAACCATCTCACCGGCAAAACTGTCATCTCCCATGTCCGTAAGACATACAATGACGAAGATAATTATCTCCACGAAGATGATATCCTAAGAGAAGGTTGCACGATGTCTCCCTCTTCCATCGATGCTGAAGACGACGACATCTACTTCTTGGAGGCCAACAAGCCCAAAAAGGTCCAAAAAGAAGAGTCTGCCACATTCCAACCTGTTCAGGTACCAGCCAACGATGACCTAACTATGGCATCATTTCTCACAACATAAATCAGACCAACGCTTTGATCCTACAACAAAACAACAGGATCAGAGCCTTGGAGAAAAATCGCCGCTCAAGATCTCTTTTGAGGAGGTATAGAAGACATAAGTCTCACAACCCATCACCAATACGACCAAGTCATCGTCCAGCTCCAGAAAAACCAGAAGCATTATCGATCAATAAGCGCGGCCGTACTCATCCTCAGAGAGACTGACGTTACCCGGTCACGAAGAAGACCAGAGGTAATGAGCGATCAAAGAACCATCATTCTCCCTCGCCCAAGCCAAAGGGTCACCCGAGAAGTACGTCTCCTCGACGGGAAGATATTCTCCGACGAGGGAGAAATAATCACTCTCCTTCATCATCACCATACTGAAGCGAAGACGATGAGCCCCACGGTCCACTATTAAGAGAAATCACTGAGGCTCCCCTACCAGTTGGGCTGGAGAAGCCTTCCCATCTAGGAACTTACGATGGAGTCATCGATCCTGAAGAGCACAAAAGCCTCCCCGACGAGTCGATCACGTCTTGAAAGAACCAGGGGAAATAGTTCACCAGGCACTTTACTGTCTCCCGCTGACACCCGAAATCCGAAACATCGTTGGAGGCGATCATCCAAGGGAAAGACGAATCCCTCCGGGCATTTGAAAGGTTCAACTACGAAGCCGTCCAAGTCTCCACGACTGACGAGATGAAGAAATACTTGCTGGAGTGCGGGCTATGTTCCCACAGTGATTTTGCCAAGGCGGTTGGCATAGAAACACCTGCTACACTAGATGTCCTCCTTCTCAAGGCTCAGACATACATTCAGTATGAAGAAAAGGAAGTTACAAATAATGTATGAGACTCACGACATTAGAAGAATGCCAAGTTCTCAAAACATGATGACACAAGGCAGCTCAGTCGATATAATGTACTCTCACGAGCAAGTCACCAAACCCTGGGGCTACGTCAAATTGATAGTCACCTCCGGGGAAAAAAAAACAGCCAGAGCCATTAAAGTCCAGTTCCTGGTGATTGACTGTCTGTCCCTGTATCAACGGATTTTCAGGAGGCCAACATTGGTCGAACTAATAGCAGTACCCTCCACCGTACATCTAAAGATGAAGTACTACACTTTGAAAGGTCTTGTCGCCAGACTCCACGAAGATATAGAAGCGGTAAGGAGATGCTTTGAGGAAGCCTCCAAAGGGATGAACTCCATCAGAGCAACACCCAAAGCAGCCGGTGATTCTGCCCGTCCCAGTAGCTCAAAAGAGCCAAAACAGCTGCCACACGTTGACACGATCGATCTAGACAACCGTTTCACTAAGGATGACCTCCAGAAGTAGCAGAAGAAGGGGAAAGAAGCTTGGATGACTATGGAGGGCTCCTCGACACCAGTAAGCAGTGATGATATTGCACATCCCCTGTAACTAATTCCAGGCGGGGAGTTCGAGATCACCCCCTCGGCAGCGACCCCAACAAAGGAGTAAAGATCGTGATTGATCTCCTAGACTCGGCGAGGAATCAACAAAAGGCGTGCCTGAGGGAGAATGCATATTTGTTTTCCTAGAGCGCCTCGAAGATGCCCGATCTGGATCCAAAGATAGCATGTCACCAGCTGGAAATAGATCATGCCCTTAAGGCAGTTGCTCAGCATAGGAGAAAGTAGTCTCTAGAGAAAATGGAGGCTGCCGAGCAAGCTGTAAAAGACCTCTCAGGAAAAATTCATTTGTGAAGTCCAGTACATAACCTGGTTATCTAATGTTGTACTAGTAAAAAAATTTAATGGAAAATGACGAATGTGTGTTGACTATACCGATCCTAATAGGGCTTTCCCCAAAGATGTTTATCCCCAACCCAACATAGATAGATTAGTTGATAATTCTGCTGGTTTTAAATTGTTGTCTTTTATGGATGCATTCTCTGGATACAACCAAATTCCCATGGCAAAAAGCGATATAAAATACATGACTTTCATGACCGAATCGGGTAACTATTACTACAACGTAATTCCCTTTGACTTGAAAAACACGAGGCCATGTACCAAAGGATGACGAATAAAGTCTTTCGGGGAGAGATTGGAGACATACTCGAGGTCTATATGGACGACATGATCGTGAAATCCCAAGAGGAATTCGACCATACGCTCCACCTAAAAAGGGTATTCGATCAAGCAAGGAAGTGTAAAACGTTATTCAACCCAGAAAAATGCACCTTCAATGTACGGGAAGAAAAATTCCCCGGCTTCTACCTGACAGAAAGAGGGATTGTGGCCAACCCCAAAAATTGTAGGGTATTCTCTAAGTTTCCGACGCTAAATTAAAAAAAGTCAATCTAATCTCTGAATGGGATGCTCACCTTGTTATCCCGCTTCGTGGCAAAATCTGCCCAACACACACTTCCCCTTTCCAAACTTCTTCACAAAGAAGTAACATTTTGGTGGACCAAAGAGTGAGAGCAAGCTCTCTTCCACCTCAAACGAGCACTCTCACAACCACTGGTCCTCGCAACCAGATAATGGAGAAACTCTCTACCTTTATCTCGCCGTTGCGACCAAGACTGTCAGTGCGTCCCTCATATGGGAAACCCCTGAGGGACATAAACCCATATACTTTAGAGAAATCCCCTACAAGCCCCATAGCTCAGGTATCAGTAGATCGAAAAGGTGGCTTTGAACCTTATCAATGCAGCAAGAAAACTAAGGCACTACTTCCTAGCCCACATGATCATCGTGCAAACAAATCAACCCGTAAAGCAGCTGCTCGGTCGTCCAAACATAGCAGGAATAATACTCAGATGGTTGTTAAAACTGTATGAGTTCGACATCAGGTATACAGTCAGAAAGGCCCTTAAATCCCAAGTA